CAGCTTGAGGACTAAGGTGCGCCTGACCCAAGCCATGGTATTTTCAATAACCTCGTATGGATGCAAAAGCTGGACAGTGAATAAGGAAGATCATAGAAGAATTGATGTCTTTGAGTTGTGGTGTTGGAGGAGAATATTGAAAGTGCCATGGACTGCCAAAAGCACCAATAGATCTGTTTTGGAAGAAGTGCAGCCAGAGTGCTCCTTGGAGGCCAGGATGGCTAGGCTTCATCTCTCATACTTTGGACACATTGCCCGGAGAGAACAGTCGCTGGAGAAGGATGTCATGCTGAGTAAAATGGAGGGTCAGAGAAAAAGAGGAAGACCCCCAATGAGATGGATCAGCCAGGTGACATCATTGATGGCGTCAAGTGTGGCGGTGGTAGTAAGATTGGCCCAGGATCGGACATTGTTTTGTTCTGCTGTGCATAGGGTCGCTATGTGTCGGTTCCGACTCGATGGCACCTGACAACAACAACAACAACATAGTTATTTTGCTACTAGCATGTTATTACATAATCATTGTAGATTATAAATTAACTTGAGTTCTTTAGTGATATTTTTTGCCAATTTAGTAGTTTCTATTGTAGTGATATTAATGATGATAGTAATTATATGATTAATATCAGATGCAGGTAAAATTATGCTTAATGATTGCAGCAATACATGGTCAGGAAACTGCCAGATGTTCAAGCTGGATTCAGTAGAAGGCGTAGACTCAAAGATATCATTGCTGAGGTCAGATGGATCTTGGCAGAAAGTAGAAAATACCAGAAACATTAAACAAGTTAGGTAGATATTCCACAGAAATGTAATCTTGACTCCAATTTTCAATAAACAACATAGGAAATGAAAGACCTCTGTTTCAGTGATACTGATCAAATTATTGTTTTTCACCATATTGGCAACATCTGCTAGAGAAATTAAAGGTGTTTACCTGCTTTATTGGAGTCCTGGTGAGGCGTTGTGGGTTAATGTGACAAACTGCAAAGCTGTTTGAACTGCAAGGTCGGTGCCTCAAGCTCACCAGCTGCTCCTCAGAAACCCTATACAGGGTCACTGTGGATCTGAATCAACTCAACGGCACTTAACAACAACAACAACCTGCTTTATTAACTATGCAAAGGCATTTAACTGTGTGGATCATAGCAAATTATAGATAACATTGCGAAGAATGGGAACTATAGAACAGTTAATAGTGCTCAAACTATGAGGCAGTCAATCAACTTGAACAAGGCAATACTATGTGGTTTAAAATTAGGAATTGTGTGTGTCAGAGTTATATCCTTTCACCATACTTATTCAATCTATATGCTGAGCAAATAATCTGAGTATTTAGGATTATACCTAAAGAGAAAAAATCAACTCTCTAAGAGGAACCCAGAACCAGGTTGACGGAAGATTCCTTAACAATTTGACATATACAGATGACACAACCATGCTTATTTAAAGCAAGGGGGATTTTAAAAACACTTGTTGATGAAGATCAAAACTACAGCCTTTTGTGTAGATTAAACTTTAACGTAAATTTTTCAAAATCCCTACAACTGTACCAGTGACCAACATCTTGATAAATAGAGAAAATATTGATGTTGTCCAGGATTTGATTATATGTGAATCCATAATTAACACCCACAGAAGCAACAGTCAGGAAACCTTGTACTGCATTGGGCAGATCTCCTGCAAAAAGATCTCATTCAAATGTTAAAGAGCAAAGATGTCATCTTGAGGACTAAGGTCACCTGACCAAGTCATGCTATTTTCAGTCACTGCTAATGTATGTAAAAACTGGAGCATGAATAAGGAGACAGAAGAATTGATGCGCTTGAATTCTGGTGTTCGCAAAAAAATATTGAATATACCATAGGCTGCCAGAAAAACAAACAAATCTGTTTTGAAAGAAGTACAGCTAGAATGCTCCTGAGAATTAGGAATCGTGGGACTTTGTCTCACATAATATGGACTTGTTACAAGGAGGGACCAGTCTCTGAAGGCAGACATCATGCTTGGTAAAGTACTGGTGGTAGTGTGCCATGGAGTCGAGTGCCATGGAGTTGGTTCCAACTCATAGTGACCCTGTACAGGGTTTCCGAGGCTATAAATCTTTATGGGAGCAGAAAGCCTCATCTTTCTCCCATGGGAGAGTTGATAGTTTCGAATCGAACTGCTTACCCTGAGGTTAGCAACCTGATTCATAACCACTATGCTACCAGAGCAGTAAAAAAGAGGAAAATCTTCAGTGAAATGAACTGACACAGTGGGCTCCAATTTAGCCAAGAATGGTGCAAGGCTGGGTTACTTTGAATCAGAACCAGTTCAGTGGTACCTAATATCAATATTGTAATGAGAATCTATAAAGGAAAAAAATGTATTCAAATGTATATTTTTATTCTTCAACATGTTACGGTAGGTAGATATTCCATAGAAATGTAATCTTGATTTAATTGTTAGAAAACAGATAAAGTAGGCAATATAAGATCTCTGCTTCAGTGATACTGGCCAGAGTATTATTATTTCACCATAATGGCAACATCTGCCAGGGAAATTAAAACAAAATTTCCTCCCTAAGGAGATTCTGCCTGCTCCAGCGAAAGCTCTGTATATACAGGGAATGCCAGGAAATTCTGACATATTCTTGGAGCAAACACTTCAAAAATGTCTTGTGTTTTTTCTGTTTCAGCAACTGCACTGCGTGGTGGTTGGAAGTGAAAATGCCAAGCGATATTTTGAAGCAGTTCAAGGATCAAAAGAGCACCGGGGGGAGCTTTTTGGGATACATAACCTCTTCAAACTAAGGACCCAAGGGTCTTGCCTTACGAGGGACATCCTGGAGGTGTGAAATTATTCTCTGACCTTTTTGATAATATTTTAAACATGGTTTTCTCCCTCAGGAACTTTAAAATATAATTGCTGGTGTCTTTTCAGTGAAAATTTTGGATTTTAGATGAAAAAGTGCCTTATGTTTAAAATTCCTACTTTTAGAGAAGTAGGAAGTGAATGATTATACCAGCAAATTAAGATTTTTCCCATGCACAGTTACAAGTAATGCACATGCCCAGCAGACATACATATACAGATAGTGTGTATTGCAAGGCCATTTTCAGATGGGCAGAGAGAAGTTTTATTATTTTGAAAACAGCTGTTGAAGTCAGGAACTAAAAAAAGAGACTTTCCTAAATAAACAGAAATATAAAATGTGTTTTGATTAAAGTTACCAAATACTCCCTGAGAAGTACTCTCATGGCCCATGGAGAGTTTTGTTTTCTGTTCCCAATAAAAATTCCACACCAACATTTCAAACTCTCCCAGTTGTGACATCTTCAGCATACAGATGTTTCTTATTCCTTAAAAACAGGATATTTATATCTTTAAAAAAAAATTCTTTAAATTATTTCATGTACCAAAATACTAGGGATATTAACCTTTTTTTGCTAGTTGGTGTTGATATTTTTATTGTTAAGTGCTGTCATGTCAGAAACATGTCATAGAAACCCTGTGTAGGGTTTCCGAAGAGCAGCTGGTGGGCTTGAACTGCCCACCTTGTGTTTTACAGTCCAGTGCTCATCCTACAGCACCATATATAGCAGAAGTTTCATAAAATCTTGGAATATCTTGTCCAGCACTTAAATCATATAGTTGAGGGAAATGAGACATAGGGAACTTAAGGATGCTCCCCTTTTCATCTTTGTAGTAAAGCTTTAAGGTGCTTTATTTATTCAAGTTAAAAATTAATGAAATTTTTCCAAGAATTTAAAAAATATATTTGGGATACATAACCTCTTCAAACTAAGAACCCAAGAGTCTTATCTTATGAGGGACATCCTGGAGGTGTGAAATTATTCTATAACCTTTTTGATTTTATATATATACAGACATACATGTAGCATGGTGGCTCCATACCATAAGCATTGGACTGCGAACCACAAGGTGCAGTTTGAGCCTGCAAAATGCTCTGCAGGAGAAGGATGAGACTTTCTGATTTATGAATCAGAATCAACTCCATGGCACTTAGCAACAACATATATGATTTCTGGTGTGACGCTGTACGATAAGCACTTGACAGCAAGGTTGGTTTGAACTGCAGTGTCAGTGGTTCAAACTCAACAGCTGTTCCTTTGAAACCCTATTACAGGGTCCCTATGAGTCAGAATCGACTCAATGGCACTTAACAACAATATATATATATATAAGCACTGCCGGCACTGTAGAAGAATTGATGCATTTTAGTTATGGTTTTGGAGGGGAATATTAAAAGTACATGGGCTGCCAAAGAACAAACCAATCTGTATTGGAAGAAGTACAGCCAGAATGCTCCTGGAAGCCAGGATGGCCAGACTTCGTCTCCCATACTTAGGACATATTATTAAGAGGGACCAGTCCCTGGAGATGGACATCATGTTTGGTAAAGTGGAGGTTCAGAGAAAAAGAGGAAGAGTATTGGCACAGTGGCAGCGCAATGGGCTCAAACGTAGAAATGATTGTGAGGTTGATGCAGGACCAGTCATTGTTTCATTCTGTTGTGCTTAGGGTCACTATGAGTTGATACCGACTCCATGGCACCTAACAATAACAAGTAACCACAAGTTCAGGTGTTCAAACCTACCAGCCACTCTGCAGGAGAAAGATGAGGCTTTCTGCCCCTTAAATATTTACAGCTCTGGAAACCCTATACAGGGTCACTATGAGTTGGAATCACCTCCATGGCACTTAACAATGACAGCATATGGACATGCATTGTTGTTGTTGTTAAGTGCCGTCGAGTCAATTCTTACCCATAGCAACCCTGTATAGGGTTTCCAAGGAGCAGCTGGTGAGCTTGAACCTCTGACTTTGCAGTTCAAATGGCTTTGCAATCTGGCGCATTAAGGGCCTTCAAAACGTTCATGGAAAAATTCCATTATCTCTTCTGTGAGCTTTTTGAAGTCCCTTGTGTGTGTGTGTGTGTGTGTGTGTGTGTGTGTGTGTAGGTGGGTTGTTGTTGTTGTTGTTGTTAAGTGCCGTCGAGTCGGTTCCGACCCATAGCGACCCTGTACAGGGTTTCCGAGGGTGTAAATCCTTACGGGAGTAGAAAGCCTCATCTTTCTCCCGCGGAGCAGCTGGTAGTTTCGAACCGCTGACCTTAAGGTTCGCAGCCCGATTCGTAACCACTACGCTACCAGAGGTGGGTAGTATGGTTATTAAATGCCGCTGAATTCATTCTGACTCACAGTGACCCTGTTTCCAAGGAGCAACTGGTGGATTTGATCCGCTTCCAGTGCTTATCCTACAGCGCCACACCAGTACTTCATGTATATATATGTGTATATATATAAATATATATGTCATTCTGGTGTGGCACTGTGAGCTGATGTGTCAGACTGCAAAGTCGTTTGAACTGCAAAGTCGATGGTTCAAGCTCACCAGCTGCTCCTTGGAAATGCTATACAGGGTTGCTATGGGTCGGAATTGACTCGACGGCACTTAAGAACAGAATATATATATATATACATACATATATATATATACATATATATATCTGGACTGCAAGGTCACTCCTCGGAAACCCTCTACAGGGTCTCTATGAGTCGGAACCGACTTGACAGCACTTAATAACAAAAACAAATATATATATCCATGATTCATTTATTAGTTTGTCATACTGTGGTGATTTTCATGCTGCTGTGATGATATGCAACCAGTATTTTAAATACTAGCAGAGTCAACTGAGCTTTCAGACTAACAGAGTAGGAAGAAGGAGAGGCAGACTACTTCTTAATGTTTAGTAACTGAAACCATATGAATAGCAGTGGAATTATGAATATATGAATGAGGATAAGTCAAAAAGTATTGCTGAAAAATTGTAGAAACTTTTATAAAACAAGAATATCAAAATGTGACATTATTGTTTCTGGACATTTCTGCCATCTAGGTTTATATACTTCTGGAGGCAAAGTTTCCATCTCTCTAGCCCTTCCTCAGAGAATTCTTAGCTTTTTAATTTACACCACATCAGTATGGCACTTTTGACATCCTCAAGGGACTCAAATCATGTTCCTTTTAAATGTTCTATGAGTTCTGGGAACAAAAAAATCTGAAAGGATAAGATTAGGACTTGTTAAGGTTTCCCAACAAAATTCCATAGGACAACTTGGCCTATACTTATGGATGTAATAGCTCAAAATACCAACTGAGAGGGAAGGAGTCCTCACATCCAAAATCAATCTTATCCACTCTGTATACAGGGTTGATAGGGATAGGCAACTTAGACATTGGCTACCTAAAATGGGAGGGGCTATAAAGGCATTAAGTGACTGGCTTACAAGTTTTCAAAGGGTTTAGTTTCAGAATGGTGGGGGTTGGGGAAGTAGAATCCCTACTGAATAGTTTTCATCTTGTTTAGTCTGGTCTGGTGAAAGGAGATGGGGATAATATTCTTATGATTCAATAGTGAGTAATTGTTATCATGACTAATTGTGACGGTCACACTTATAAATGTAGAAGTTTTGTAACAAAAAGAGTGGAGTAGTTAATCTTATAATCCAGGAACAGAGAACCCTAGGACCATCAAAGGAAAAGAGCACGAGCAAAATGTGGGACCCTATTCCAGAGAAGCAACGACACCAGAAATGGAAACAGAGATGAGAGATTGCAGAGAGAGAGCAACTGAGGACTCAAGACTCATGGAAAGAGAAAGGCTGTGTGCTGGCAGCCAGATGCAGGTGGCCAGGGGACAGGCTTGCAGATTGTGTCCTTTGGTTGTTTAAATGATTATATATTCCTGAGTGATTTTGTATACAGAGGGAATAGAAGCAAATACTGTTGAATGAAGATGCACAGAGGACATTGTAGTCATTGCAGTGAAACAATGAGTGTAAAATTAATGTTCCCTCATGTAAACTATCACTCAATTCACAATAAAGACTTGAAAAGAAAAAAAAAAAAAAGAAAGAAATGCAAAGGAAAAAAAATTAATTCTGTAGGACAGTTCTTACTACCATTGAATGAACAATTGTATTGTTGTGATGGAAAAAAATTCCTTGGTACAACTTTCCTGACTTTTTTCTCATCAATGAAATTTTCAGTTTTCTTAAAACTTCTTCCTAATAAATCCCTGTGATCTTTCTTTGTCCTTTGAGAAAAGTTATTAAGATTACCCCTTGCAAGTCCCCAAAAAACACCTGAAGGAGTAAACTTTAACACAAGTAAGAGTATTTAAAATTTTTATTTAGAATGTATATAAGTTACTTAATTACCCAATTGAAAAATAGGTAAAGCAACCTCTACCCATTTCTTTCTTTCTTAAGTTTTAACATGCAATTGTTGTTTACCTGTTTGTTGTTACTGCATGTTTTACATAGTCATTTGCATTATTTATTGCTGACATAGAGAGAAGGCCACGTTGAAGCAGGAATCCTGACAGCCACAACATGGTGGAAAGAGGGCCCTCCAGTTCACACACAAGAAATGGCAAGTAATGTTTTCATCTGCCACCGAGAACTCCAGGAGACATGGTCATGGCAGTGTTCGCTTCTGTTTTCATTTGTAGTTTGATATATAAAGTTAAATGGGTGTTGTTGTTTTTTTTTAAGTCAAAAAAGTCAGAGGCTTGTCAGCAAAATTAATAATTTAGGTTCATTTAACATTTATCAAGCATTTGTCTAAAGTGGAATTTTAACTATAACAAACTATAAATACAAAATTAAATTCACTATTGGGACAGAGCCTTGGTGGCACTGTAGGATACACACTGGGCTGCTAACCACAAGGTCAGCAGTTCAAACCCACCAGCTGCTCCACGGGAGAAAAATGAGGTTTTCTGCTCTTGTAAAGACTTGTAAACTGAGAAATCCTATAATAGGGTCACTGGGTGTGGTGCTGTAGGATAAGCACTGGACTGGTCGGCAGTTCGAACCCATTAGCCACTCCTCAGAAACCCTACACAAGGTCAGTA